TCCGTGGCTGTGAGTTTGTTTTGCTTGATGATGGGAACGGGGTAGGATACAGTGGCAGTCACGTCATGAGGCAGGAGGCAACCTACAGGAGGAGGCTGTCCCTTACGTAAGAGTCGCTAGACCGCTTAAGGCGTGAAAGGGTTAAACACAGGTCAGAGGGCTCTACCACCTTCCAGAAAGACGAGCCAGGAGCGGCGCACGTCCTTTCGACTCTGGGTCTCCGTGCTGAGAACCTCCTGGACCCTGGGAGGACCGATGCCAACAACCCTTCCCCAGAGCCTGCCCACAGAGAAGACCTTCCTTGAGAGCTGACACCTCGAATTCAGCCTCCCAGCCTCCCAGACAGTGAGAGGAGTAATCCGTTTGCTAGAGCCACCCCCCTTGAGGTACACGTATTGCCATTGCAGCATCAAAGAGAACGCAGAGAATTGGGGACCCCCCAGCTTAGCAGGGTGGGGGGACTTTGGCAGGCTTGGTGCTGTGGGTTTTACAGAGAAGGGAGGGACATGGGAATCTGTCGGTCTGTGTCTTGAAGGTGTGTCGTTTCACGTCCTGACCACGAAAGATACACCAGAGTTTGCCGTGAGACCAGAAGAACTGGATGGTGCCGAGCTTCCGAACATCAGCAGAAAAATCCTTATCAAAAGGAGGACTATGTGGAACAGTCTGTTAAATTCTTGTGGAGTCCAGACTTTTATATCCACAGAAGTTGGATGAACCCTTCAAACTACTGCCCTGAGATAATCCTTAAACCCCCAATACCTCTGAAATCTTCTTGACAGCAAACGACAGTTTTGCTTCATTAATAGGAATGTCTGGTCTGCTTTGAGCATGGTGCTCTTTTAAGAGGCACCCGTATCTGAGATCAAATTGAGGACAGCAACTTGTGAGGGAGGAACACCTCGGAGAAGGAGGGTGAGGATGGGTGCCCAAACCCAAAACAGCATTGAGTGGTACTTGCGGGAAGTACTGAACTGGCTTAGGTTGTCCCGGATACATTTCCAAGCAACCACAAAAAAATAAAGGTTATTAAATAAATAAGCAAATGAACCAAAGTCAGGGCCAGCGAGGAGAGGTATCCTTGTAATACTCAGGGATTCCCCCTGGCGGTCCCCTGATAGTGTCCACTCTTGGGGAAATGTATCCTCGGGCTTTTCAGCAGGTTCTCAAGAAGATCTCTGGCCCATCCTGGCCCTGCCCTGGGTCAGTGGTGATGGAGCCTGTGATGGGTATTGTGCCAACCTGGCCAATAAACACATGTGGGATTAATAAGGTCCCGGTTTAATTGAAGACAACGAGATAACTGGAGATAACTGGCTCGGCGAGCCTCCCTGTCGTCTCTTGCTCTCTGATGATCGGACCAGGACCAGTGTGCGGCTGTCTTAGCTGGTTCTCTGCCTCAACTTGTGAGCTACACTCCCTGTGGGACACCCAACCCATGGACTCTGTCACTACAGTTTGAGGTTCCTTCGAGACCTGCTT